TCAGAGTATCACATGGCAAACTGTAGCTGGTGTGCCTCTTTCCCCCATCTACAGGGTTCTCATTAGGAAACCCCCAAGGAGCAACGTGTGTTGAGAAAACTCTCTATGGTACTGTGTGATCCAGCTTCTCTATTCCCTCGGACTTGACCTTTACTCTCTTCTGAACCAAAGTTTCTTACAGGATCAGCTCATCTAAAAAGGCATCTCCTCCAGGAATCCTTCCTTGGTCCACAGGAAGACTCTCCAAACGCGTAACACCTACATTCCAGCTGCATGCACTCAGCAAGCACATAAGAGCAGTGTAGCTTCCTGAGTGTGGGTATGAGCTCCCTCAGCCCAATTTCAAACTCTGAAGACGGCACAAAAGGGAAAACAAAATCTTTACTTGGTATTCAAAAGAATTTTTTAGTAGCCTTCCATGTTTAATAGTTAATCAAATCTAAGGCAAAGAGCTTGACACAATGGTGAAAATATGCTAATTCATTTACATTTCTGTCCTACTGACTTGGGACTAATAACTGGAGACTTTATCAAACAATAAAAGTAAAAAGAAACTGGAACTGCCACAGTGTCTGTCCCTCCCTCCCTTTCTTTCTGCTTACATTTGATGGGCATGGGGGTAGAGGGGAATGCAGACTCCAGAGGTAGGATAGATCAGTAACAGGTACTGAGAGATGAGGAACCTCATAATGTGCACCCAGCATAAGGCCAGACATCTGATGCCATCATAGGAAAAGTACACAGACACTTAGAATCTTCACCCAGTAAGCAGCTGGCCTGGGGTCCAGCCTCAGTCCTTTGGGACTTTACAGTGTCATGTTGTGTGCACTGCTCAAGATTAAGATCCTTTAAGGGAAAAGGTGGCTTCGGAATGCTAACCTTCCTGTAGGCTTGACACTGGCCATCCGAATCTTTACAGGTACTTGCCAGGGAAGAAGGGGAGCAAGAAGGGAAGGAAGCAGGTAGGTGCTGGTGTTCAGATCCCAAGCTGCTGCTGAGAACAAAGTTAATGCAAGAGCTCTGGCCTTTTTAAAAATTACGTATTATGTGAGTATATATGCATATGGGTGTGGGTACCTACCAAGGAAGGAGAGGGCATGAGACTCCCTGGAGCTGGATCTACAGGTGGTTGTGAGTGGTACTGAGAACTGAACTCTGGTCTTCAGCAAGAGCAGCAAGCATTCTCAGCCTAGCTGCTGAGCAACCTCTCCAGCTCCCAGAGGCCCAAATCTTAACGTAATCTTGCAAGACATGACCCACCTGCAATTCTATTATTTGCCTGAATGGTGGAGCTCAAAGCAGGAGACAGAGGCTATTAGTCCAGACTGCGGTTTGGTGTGATGGGAGGATGGGGCAGTTTCATGTCCTCAGATTTCAGATACGGATCACTTCACTTATTCATTTTTTCTAAAAAACCATTAATAGGTATTTTTAAGTCTTATTCCAGATTCTAACATCTGGAGATAAAGCATGGACATCATTTTATAAGTTCCCCATAAAAGCATTAATGAGCCAGCCTTCAAGTGTCACTACCCACACTGTCTCAATTGCAGGAGACTAGAACCTTGGAACCCGGGTTCTGTCATTGGTTGTTTTGGAAAGGTGCACCCAGGTGCTCAGAGTCTCAAAGTTTCAAGCTAAGGGGTCTTGTGTGCACAGAATGAGATGTTTATATTATCCTGATGCCCCTTGCCTTGTCAATACAAACATCACTCTGCTGTTTTGTGTATCTGGGAGAAAATGCAGGTGAAGGCTACATATGATTGCTCTTTTTGTCTAAATTAGCTTCTGGCTTGGGAACAGTGCCCCAGCTCTGGTCACACACAGGGTGGACTCAAGCAGTTGCTGCAATGGCTAGAATCTCATGCGGCACACGAGAGACCTCTTAGCTTGACATTTTGATGACGGGAGCTTTGGAGGCCTCCGCCTCTCCTGCACTGCACCAGCCCTTTCTGTTTTCTTCTGAGAAGACCTTCAGTTTCACCTGTGTATCTGCTACCTTCTCTTTTCCTAGGACTACTCTGCCTCACTTCGGAGAAGACTCCGGGTTCTCACCGGTCCCACCTGCTGGGTGGCATGCTGCCAGCCCAGGGGAAGAGCAAATTTATTTCTTCCCATGCTTTGCAACATCATGGGTTGCAGAGTGTTTTAGTGCGGTGCATAATTATAGAAACGACTCTGAAAAACTGTATATTTATCTGTGCTTTATTATACCCAGAATATTCCTGATTTTTTTCCGTCTCCTCAAACTGGCTTAAAATATATTTGGGCGTCCTTTATGTCATCTTGAAATTGAATAGCCAATTCTTACAGTAATGAAAATACTTACGCGGCAGCCTGGTGATATACAACACTACACTCTAATTACAGCTGCGCTTTAATTAACCTGAATTGAAGAGTGTTATCATTAAACTGCTGGTAACTTTGAGTTATGGCTTTTCTTTAATTTAAAGTAGAAAACACAGATAATTAAGCCTCAAGATAATCAAATGCTTGAAGAGAGCTTCAATGTTTTGGGTTGTTCCTAAATCTCATTAAATGTCCTTTCTTTATTGATTAGTTCCACCTCTGCCGAATTGCTGCATTAAAGGAATAATAGCACTAGGCTGAAAACATTCTCACTCACATCAGAAGTTGCTTTTTTTTTTTCCATTCAAAAGCTTTACTGAACAAATACTAAATTCACTGACAACGAGGTACGTCTAAGAGATCTTTTCCCTCGTTAGAACATGCTCTAAAGATGAAAATCAATCAAGGGAAATAATTCATATTTTATTACTGCTGTGCCTGACAGGAAGCCTGGCTTTTCCACCCTCCTCTTCCTCTGCCCCTCAGTTCCTTTCAAGATCAAGGGTGAGAACTGCTCCCCCTAGAGGCTGTAGCTGAGATACACAGCTGCTAAACGCCAGACTCCTGAGTTGGCACAGAAGGCTATTGGAGTTTCATATGGCTGGAAGAGGACAGAGTTGACCTGGACTGTTGGTGACACTCCACGCTGATTTAGGAAATTGCATATACAGCCCCTTCATTAAAGCAAGTGGGGGCCAGTTAGTGTTGGGCAGAAACATGGATCCTATGTGGCCAACTCCGATTTTAAAGAGAGTCTAGCGATCTAAGTTTTGCTTTGTTTGTTTTTGTGAAATGCTATGGTCCAGAAATTCCAGCAACTAGCCTTCAGCAAATTAAACAATACCAAGGACATGGGTCCAATGCACCCTGTGAGTATTCCAGTCATAGCCTCTTGGGGGGAAACAGTCCTCCTTCTTAGTCTTTAAAAGAAGTGGCGCTTTTCCCAGGGGAAGAGGAAGAGAAGGCCGCAGATGCTGGAAGTACCAGAGCGCTTCCCCGGGAGTGTGCCTCACAGGCGCACCACTAGTTAGATCAGGAAAATGAACAGCTAAGGAAAAGAGCTTCAAGACATCCCATCTAGTATCCCTCACATCACAGGGCCCCAGTCTGCTGCCAGCTCTGCCTTGATGCTCAGACCACCCCTGTATTGACCACAGAGGACTTCAAGGGCCTTTGTAAGGAGCCCTTTGTGTGTTCACTTGGAAGTTCTGACTTCTCTAGACTGCTCCTCAGAAGCAGGCTGTGCTACAGAGGAGGATACCCTCCCAGCATCTCGGAATGGTTAACTTCATCCCACAGCAGAAAGAAAAATCACTCTCAGGGAAAGGTGCTCATGGGAGCTACAATAGGGCTTCCATTTCCAGAAAAGAACTCCTTCCGAATCAATTACCTATTCACTTTTCCAGTCCATTTAGCATTTAAACTATCGCTTAGAGACAGGGTGAGAAATTTCTGTAAACAACCAAACCATTTTGGTGTGCTTGGGGGTTTGGGTCTGGGGACTGGCAGAGAACACCTGCTGTGCTCCCTGGCAGAAGTCTCTATCCCTCCCTTCTGCATACAAAAGAGGTGTCCCAAAGACCCTGGGTTTCCTTTACTATGCAGGGCTCTCAGTGTTGATTTAGTACTGTTAGAGTTCCAGCTCTAGAATCCCCGGATGGTGGGATTGGCTGGCAAGTGGCTCCTTCTCCCTCAGCCTAGCCCCACCTGTTTCTTCCCAGTTTTTAATCAGTGAGACCATTTATTGACCTTTGTTAAGGTGTCAAGTCCTAATGGATCAGGCTTAGAGGTCCACCACTTCCAGAGTTTGTGTTTTTGAGGAGAACATGACCCTTGTTTGATTTTTATTTCAATCTAGAGAGTCCAAGTGGTAGATCTGGGGGTACTGTCATGCCTCAAGGTGGACACCTGGAACTCCAGAGACCAGAATACCTGATCTTCTAGCGGGTACAGGGTATGGCCTGCTGCAAGTACCCTGGGAACCAGTTCAGATTCTTGCTATTTGAGGCTGGCAGCTATGTGCAGGACCTTTTCAAGGCCTCCTTCTGTGCACTTGGCAGCATAGTTCCTCAGTAAATAGCAAAAGCACTTTGAATGTCTATATATCACGGACTTAATTAGGAGGGAGATTAAAATTCCTTTGTCCTGGAACTGGCAAGAGTTGACTTTTTTGCTCTATTAAAAGCAGATAGGGGCTGAAGGTGAAGCCCTGGGTTCAATCCCAAGTACGATAAATAAATAAAATAAACAAATAAGTGATAAACAAACAAATAAATAAATGAATAAATAAATAAATGAAACAAAGTAAAACAAGGGCCACATGAGTTCATGCCACGTTTCAAAGGCTTCCATCTCATAGTGGCATTACACAAGATATACAGGCAAACTGCACAAAGTGTAAGTTTGCACAAATCAGGGGTCCACTCTTAAGATTTTTGGACCTAGAGGATAAACTGGAGTCAGTGTAACACCTGCAGGCAGGGCCTTGTCAGGACATGCTTTCCTGTCTGCAGACATGGGGGACTGAGCCCAAAGGAGCCCCTCAGTGAGAATCAAGTGTCCCAACCAGTAAAAACAGAGGGGGGAGGCTGTCTGTACAGACCCAGTAAACATCCTGAGAGGCAAAGAGCATCCAGTGAACAGTCACTTACTCACAAACAGTAGGGAAGGACAGACCCACGAAGGCACTGGAGAGATATTCTGTGTACATTTCATTGGAGACTCCTTCCAAGTAATATTTCTGCCACGTGTCTTCCTCAATCTAAGAGAAAAGTATACAGGAGGAGGGTTTAAAGTATAGCCACAAACTGACAGAGGGGAACTGCAGTGAGAGCCTTAGTTAAACAAGTAAATGCACTAGTGAAACAATGACCTTCCCAGTGGATAACCTTCTCAGAAGTTGGGGACATACCCACAGAACGCCCCTGAAGCTCCCAGTGACTTCCAAAGGTTTGAGTTCAGTAGATTTCATTCAAAGCACTGTCTTGCTCTTAAAAAAAATGTTTAACTGTGTGTGTGTGTGTGTGTGTGTGTGTGTGTGTGTGTTTGTGTGTGTGTGTGTGTGTATGTTAGAGAGAGAGAGACTATGTATGACTGTGTGTGCATGTCTTTCTGTGTCTGTATGAGAGTATGAACATATGTGTATGTGGGTGTTTACTATTGCAGAGCTTGAATAAACAGGCATTTGCAGAATATGAGTTATGTGAGTCCTGGATCCAAACTTGGGTCTTCATGACTATGTAGTAAACACTCTGACTAAGATACATCTCTAGTCCCTTGCTTTGCTTTGAACCTTTGTTATTTCTAAGGCTGTGAGGACATGGGACCCATCCACAATAATGGTGGACAAGTTATCAACTGACACAAATTTCTGGAGAGCAATGTTGCAGGTGTTTTAAAAATTAATGAAACCATATACTCGTTTATGTAAGTCTCCCATTTCAAGCATCCACAGTAAAGTATTTAAACAGGTAAGACAAAGTCATAGAGTTGTGGGTTTGTGCCACTCTTGAAACATGTTTCTACACCATAATCACATACACATACCTTTTTTATTCATGAAAAAGTATAAATAGCTCAGCTCACATGAAAATTTAAAAATCAATGGGGAATCTTGATGAAATTTTTCTGTTCTTTCATATTTGTATGTGTGTGTGTGTGTGTGTGTGTGTGTGTGTGTGTGTGTGTGTGTGTGTGCACGCACACGCATAAGTGAATGCTCTGTGGACCTGAGTACCAATGGAGGCCAGAAGAAGGCATTAGATCTTCTGCAGTGAAAGGTGGTTGTCAGCCCCCAATGTGGGTACTGGGAACTGAACTCAATTCTCTTAATCACTAAGAGATTAAGAGAATCACTAATCCATCCTGTGATTTTATTTTTAAAAGTTTTATATTTATAGGGCCATATGAAAATTTCTGGAAATGTTTATAACATAACCATAGCAATTATCTCTGAGTGGTAGAATACTAGTTTTTAAAATAGATTAATATATTGTCTGAAGACTTTTATACAAGCACACACACACATACACACACACATATGTACACACACATGCACTACACTCTATATATTTCTACTTTAGAAAAAAAGATTTTTTTGGCCTACTTAGAATATCACAATAAGCAAATTATAGTTTCAAAGGCGTCATGCCCCAAACTTCAATAAAATATACATTTTTTGTTTTTCTAAATAAGGTCTAACTGGGTTTCCCAGTCACCATCTCCAAGCAAGGTGATTTCACTGGAGTCAATCTTTGAAAACTAGCAAATTAGTCAAGAAGGCTGAACTACTCTGGCAGTCTGGAACCAAGCTCAGGGGTCTCCTCGGCTGACTCTGAGCTGCAGCCTCCTAGGCTTCACTTCCTGTGATGGTTCAAGTTATAGGAGACACAGGAAGTTGTTCCATCCACAGCATAGCTCTTTACAATGTGTTGTTCTGTTCTTGGGCTGTGAGAAATCCTAGCCACGGATGATCAGTCAGTTAGTCGAGAGAAATTTGAGAAATTCGACTCTGAGATTGGAAGGACACATGGGAGCCTGGGAAAGGACCACGGCTTCAACTATGTGGTTGTGCCCCAGCAGTCAAAATCCAGAATGAAAGTTTGAGGAGTAAATAGAATGCTCCCTACTTCCACACTGCTCACCTGCTTCATGTTCAGCCTGAGCAATCAGGCCATAAGTGAACCTCCTTGGAAGGAGCTGCTCCTGCCTGCTCCTGTATGTCCAGTATTAGTTAACCAGTGCCATGGGCTATCAGACAATTATCTACAAATTGGTCTTCCCCAGAGTGGGGGAACCTTCAAAAAGGAGTTGCTTAACCATTTCTGTTGCTAAATGGCACAATTAAAAAAAAATCAACCATAATGTGTTCAGCTAAGCATGAACTTCTTAATTTCTCCAAATTTAAGTTCTCAATAATTTTCTTCAAATAAGATAGGATATTTAGTAACTCTAAATGAAGTTTAGTGTGCATTAGTCAACATTTCATAATACAGAATATTTTAGTAACAAAAATACCATAATTTTTAATGGTAAGAGGATACCATAGGAACTACAGTTAATTATAAAACTTTAAATACTTATTTAATACTCTTTGTCAGTCCTTTGAAAACGTCATACAATGTAGTTTTGTCTTAATCAACTCACTCCCACAAGTCTTACCAGATCCTCTCCACTTCTACCCACCCAACTTTGTGTCCTTTTCTCTTCTTTAATCTTTTAACTCATCAAGTCCAATTGTGTTGCCCATACACTCTTGGATGTGTGTTCATCTACTAGAGTATCGTTGACCTACCAGGAGCCACACCCCTGATGAAAACTGATGCTCCCTCTCCCAAATGCTATCAACTGTCAATAGCTCCTCAGCTAGGGATGGGACTTTCATACCCACCTCCTATCTTCATGCTGGCAATTTGTCTGGCTTGTGCTGCACAGTTCTCTAATAATATGCCAGACACTTTTTTCTAATTTAAATACTGCAGGTGAGTGTCAAAACTAATGACAATATAAGCCTTACCTTAATGATACTGTTATTCTTCAATTAACATGGTTTTAATAGTGATCACTTAATTATGGTCATTATTTTCATGCCTCTGAGTGTAAGGAATTAACATTGTAGAACAAATTTTATTGTAGGCTAATCAATAAATTTGGTAAATAGATAGAAAAGATTCTTTATCGAATAACAATATTGTTTATGCTTTTGTTAAACTAAGTGAAACTATAATTATATTTTACATATTTATATATTATAATTATATATATGTTATATATTAATTAATTCACTCAGTAAATGTTTACTGAATATGTTCTATATTGATGGAATTATATTCTAGACGTTGATTAAATCAGATTTTAAACTCACATTTTTCCTCATGTTGGACAAAGTATTATGTTATCTGGCTAGGGTGTAAGAGACTGTTCTACCAGATACATCTGAATTCCTTTGATTTCCCACATCTCTTTCCCCAAAACTTTGCTTCTGTGGCTAACCTGAAGTGGCTGTGGGGTGGAAGTCAAACAAGTGGGAAAAGAGGTTCAGACCATCCTCTAAGACAAAATCCCTCATCCACATCCACATGTAATTCTCAGATGGTAGCTACAAGGCTGACCAGAGTAGCATCAAGTCAACTGTACAAATGGTAAGGAATTTAAAATTCACTGTCCCGACTTTTAGTCCTTTACATCTTTAGGTTATGTGCATATGCACAGCTTACAACGTTTTTGAGATTTCTAATTAAGGCATTACACACACACACACACACACACACACACACACACACACAAACCCTGCTAATTTAATTATACTAATATCTTTTCAAAGGACATGTAGTGAGTAGGGATGCAAACTGGTACAGCTGCTATGGGAAACAGTGGATCAGTTCTTGAAATCAAAATATAATTGCTATATGGCCAGCAATTCACTCCTGAATACATAACTAGAGAAAATAGGAAGAGATCAGAACAGCATTACTGATGATAGCTTAGAGTTTGAAGACACTCAAGTGTCCATGGAAGGATGTGCAGACCCTCAGGGGCATATTGTTCAGCCTTCTCAAGAAAGAAAATTCTGGCACGTGCTGCAGTATGGATAAACCCTGACAACATTATGCTAAGTAACAAAGACCACAATCACAAAACACAAATATTTGGAGGGAGAGGGGGTTCAGTTACTTGAGGTCCATGTCTGAAATCCATAGGAGCAGACATTGCAAAGGTAGCTGTAGAGGTTGGGGGCAGTCATTGTCATCATGGTACAAAGTGTCAATTTTGCAAGATAAGAAAAATTCTGAAGATGGATGGTGGTGGTTACCCAGTCATGCAAACGTACTTCATACCAATGAGCTATACATGTAAAAAATGGCCCCAGTGGTTAGTTTTTATGTCATGTATATTATATCATGATTGAAAAAAATGTGAGTATAATTGATGCTACTATTCTTCAATTCCTCAACACAAGGATGCTAACCATGCTAAAGAAAGAACAGGAGGAACTGAGTCAGGGCTGGGAAGCAGCCCTGTTGTCACCAGGATCTCACTCTGGTCCCTGACTCCTCAGGTTTGAAAGAATTCAGAGGAGACACACAGGCACCGTGCAGAGGACAGGTAGAGAGTACCACAGAGTACTCTCAAGAGCTGAGGGCAGGCAATGGCTAAGAGCTGAGGGCAGACAGAAGGCAGAGGATCACACAGTCTTGTCTTTTACCAGAATGCCTCCTCTGGCTTGACAGTAATATTGTAGGCTTGATGGCAGTTTAGAACATCATGTCACCAAAGACCAAAAAATAAAGCTCAGATCCCATATGTTACCATTTGAGATATCCCAGGCTATCTTGAGTTTGCTTTGAAACCAAGGCTGGCTTTGAATTTGAACTTCTGCCCTTCTTGCCTCTACTTTCCAAGTGCTGGGATTACAGGAGTGTATCATCATACCCAGTGTATTGGGTGCTGGAGATGGAACCCTGCCGTGCATGGGCTCTATCAACTGTTACATCCCAAACCCAGAATCTGTTCTTTGGACCAGTAATCAGAATCCTGCCCTTAGAGTTTCCAGCTTCCTAAGCTGTTGATTAAAATAGAGAAGTTGAGCTGGATTCTGTGACATACAATTTAGCTGATACCTGACTATCTACCAAACACTATAACATTGTACCATATCCCAATTCAGGGAAATCCAACTTCACTTTCCCTAGCCTGTATCAGGACTTAAACCATGGTTTAGCTTCCTGAGTCTCAAGAATGTGAACAAGCACGGACAAAAAC